GAGCCAACAAAACACTGCTTTCTCCACCTCGAGTAACTTTATTGTCAAACAAGCAACTACAATTTGTCTTTTCACTACTTTTATTGCATTGTTCGAGGTGTCAAGATAGGGGCAGCAATCGGTTTAGTATTGGTTGCTTTAAGCCAGAAGGCCATACACATCTGCGCAAGTTCTACCACCGTTGTCGCTCTCGGTGTAGCCCTTCAAATCTTCCCCGTACCATAGTCGCAGGCCACTTCTAATCATGACCGCCCCCCCACACCTCCCCCCTCCGCGCCACGTTTCTTGGGGACGCAGAACACGAGTACGGGGGACGAGGAGGTGTAACCTTGCAGACTGTACCATCCCGTTTTCACGTCGACTTTACAAGCAGCGGGAGCCAGTATTTTCTCTTGCTGGTCTGCTAGGACAGTTAAGATGACAGCGAGGTTTTTATTATCTGGAGCACAACCCCAGTAGGTGGCAGAGAGACAGCGAAATACACGTGAAATAGCGGTAACTTTGATCCTCTGATCGTAGCACGGTAGCGGTGTAACTTCACTAACAATCTCTGACTAAAAGAAGTTGCGCGTCGTCCTATACTGCCTATGCTACGTGAAAAAACTAGGGCGTTGTGAGAAACTTGGCGTCCACAATAAAGACAACTTCCTGGCGGCACAATTTCTAGAACTATTACATACGTGTGAAAATCACGATTATGAAAGCTTTGATTTTGAAATCACGTACTTGGCTTGAATAATAACTGATAATAAATTAGCAGGAAGTTGCAGAGGAAATTGATAAATGATCGGCGTTTCAAAACTAACGGGGGGGGAGGGGGTTGGGGGGGCGGAGGGGATATATTATAATGGTAGTCATTGTTCCCAATATGCCATAGTCGTATTCTCGGGATTGGACTGGAACTAGCTTGCAACTGAGGGGAATCTTAACTTTTGAAATGCAAATGGCATTCTTCTCTTTTTTAATGAAATTTCCCGCTTGAGCCTCCATTCCGAGCTAGTTACAATCCAATACTGAGAATACGAATATGGCCAATTGTTACGAGAGTTTTTCTTAGACCAATACCATAATGCATGGCGATGGTCAACAATTGATCGCTAATGA